ATGACAGGCATTACAGCATTCATTCATAGACTGTGTCTATAATATCATACAAATCCGTTAATGCATTGCATTCGTAGGCCGAGTATGAGTAATGCAGTCAACGCTCACTCACAGCCACTCACAGTCACCGCCACTGTCGCCACTGCGACGGCGCACACAACACTACACAACACATGCTTTCAATGCATTCAACACTCAATGCATTGGCCATCACTTCAATCCATTGCCATCCTTCAATCCATTGACCATCGCTTCAATCCATTCATCTGGACATCACTTTCGTTGGTCCCACACTATCACCCCATAACACATCCAATGCGTCCCCTCACTGACGACGAGACGGTTGTCCTCTTCGAGAAACTCACCAAATAGTATGTCTTTTCACTTAACATACAGACTATTGTTTATTAATCGCTATATCGTGTCAATTAATGGCAGTATTGGTGATAATGTCCGGCTGTTGATCACCAGACCTGATGGCGTCTACTGTTTCCGTCTGCACAGCGATCGTGTCTTCTACTGCTCGGAGAATATGATTAAATTGGCGTCAAATATAAGCCGCGATAATCTCATCTCTTTCGGCACGTGTTTCGGCAAATTCACGAAAAGCAAGAAATTTCGGTTACATATGACTGCTCTCGACTTCTTAGCGCCGTATGCGAAGGTAGTGTGAATGTGACCACCGATCACACCATGGATTCACTCATTTGTTGTCCCCTTTATAGCACAAAGTATGGCTCAAACCCAATGCCGAACAACAGTTTCTTTACGGCAATCATGTGCTGAAGTCAGGGTTGGGGCGCATCACGGAAGGCACCCCTCAATATCAGGGCGTTATTGTCTACTCCATGAATGATCTGCCGCTGGGTTTCGGCGCCACCGCTAAGTCGGCCCTCGACTGTCGCAACGCCGACCCCATGACTATCGTTATGTTCCATCAGTCAGACATTGGGGAGTACCTGAGGAATGAAGACAATCTCGTATGAGTTGTCATTCACACCCTCTCATCAATACATGTCTTAATTGTTTATATTTTGTTATCAATTAAATCAATAAATTTAAGATTATTTATTTGAGTCTATTATTTTAATATACGCTAAAAAGCAAATGTTATTTTCACACACTTGCTTACCAACTTGGTAAATTACCAATGGTAATACCAAGCAACTGCACATA